TCAGAGGCCTTGAGTGCTAATCCGAGGTGAAGACTCCAACGGTTAAATTAGCATGGGTGTGACGAGAAGTGGACGAGGCATGAGATTGGGATGCTCAAACGAGATCACAATAGAGGCAAGAAAGTTCTTACCTGTCCAAATTCTAGATGCTCACCTTGGGGGATCACCCCCTATTTATAATATTTTAGGCTGCTTGGAAGTAGGTGAACGCGGGCGGCTAGGATGTGGTCCGGCCTTGAGGGTGCAGCCATCCAAGGCCACCGTGTACGACCACGCTATTGGCCCCGCGTCGTGTGCCAGCCTTTGCTCTGCACACGCTCTCATTGGATCCGCTCTGCGTGCAACCTCTCGCCAACATCAATATTATTAAATATCCAATTTAATTTGAATTGTAATAAATCTGGTCAGATTGGAATATATGTCCAAGTCGAACTCTTACCAAATCGAATTTAGATTTAAATCCACTCTTATTTGTCTTATTTGCAGCCCTAGGTTGAAGTTGGCAATGGATTTGTCTTTGGAGTTTGTGTGCACAAATAACTAATAGATGGAGTACACCAAAGTAGAGGTGTAAACCAGGCCGTGCCGCCTGTGGCTCAGTATGGCCCGACATGAATTTGAACTGGTCTGGCATGGCACGACGTGATAGTTCACGGGTCGTGCCAGGCCTGGCACGATAGTCTGTGTTATGCTAGGCTTGGGGTTTTAGGTCCATGGGTCGGCATGGCATGATCAAGCGGGTCGTGCCGCTTGCGGCTCGCGGTACGGCCCATATATATTATTTATATATTTTATATATGTTTTAAATATATTTATATATATTTTATAAATATTTATATAATATTATATAAATAATAATTATATAATAATATATAGTATATAATATATTAATAAAATAAATATTTTTTTTAATTTTATTTAATTATTGTATATATAAGCAATTATATACAAAAAATTCATATAAAATTAAAATTTTAAGTTTTTTGTCAATTTTTTTAAATAAATTGCTTTGGCCCGATGCACGGCCAGACTTGGCCCATGGGCCAGCCCGGCCTGCAGCATGGCACAGGCCCACATGGGCTTGGGTAATGGACCATGCCGGGCCGACCCCCAAAATTTTCACTGGGGAGGGCGGTACAGCCCGACATGGCCCATGGACCGGCCCGACACAGCCCACTTTACACCTCTACACCGAAGGATAGAGCTACAAGTAAATAAAGTTTCAACAAGGGTAAGTTGATCAATGGGATTTTGGATTTTATTGATCAAGAAATCCATACTCTTGTTACATATTTACATGGGGACCAAGTAAAATATGTTTCTTGGGTACCACTTACCCAGGCAAGTGATATCCATCTCCTAGATAAATAAATAATTTTTCCATTTGAGGAAAAATTGTCAATACTTGGATGAGCAAAAATGTCTCTATCAATCATGGTTTTTAAAAATGAACCAGTGACCGAACTGGTCAGGGGTCCGGTTACCGGTTCGAATGGTCTGACCATTTTACCCGAATGGCCGACCCGTTCTAACAAAAAAAAAATTTAAATTGGAAAACGGTCAATACCATTCGAACGATTAACCAGCCGGTTCAACGGTTTGCTGACCAAAATTAACGGTTTTGAAGAAAAAAATGGTTTTTAAGAAAAACGAAACCGGTCAAATAACCGGTTCCCAATTTTTCTGGTCCGATTTTGAAAACAGAGCTTTCGATAATGGATTTCTATGACTAAAATGGTCATAGAAATGCAATTACCCAACGAAACATTTACTCAGATCACTCACCGAAAAGAAAACGGGCCTAAATTATCTACGATGTGTAGAGCAACATGATTGTTACATTAGAGAATCGCTGGCTGAGTCTTGACAAAACTAATGCAAGTGCATATAATAAATTGTTAGACAAGCTGCTGGTTCCTAGCCGGATATGGCTCATGGTCAGGTTGTCTGGTTGTGTTGATATTTCATTAAATTAATCAAAACTTAAATGTTTATCGAATTAAAGATAATTAAGATTTGAGCATCGTTAATTAACAATTAATACAAATTTGTTTTCATGTAAGACTTCTAAATTCACCATTAATAATAAACATTTAATACCTGATTTCCTTTTAACACCGAAATTTACTCTCGCTAGAGGGGTGACCACTGTTGATGTCTCAAAATTAGACCTGTCAATCAGGTCGGGTTGGATCAAGTTTGAGTGAAGTCAGTGGGTTTTAATGGTCTAACAATCTGGGTCAACACCAGTATGAAAATGTTGATTTGAAAATAAGTTGTCTGGTCAAGACATACCGCCTTCTAATTCAGTTTAGGGGTGCTCATAGTTCAGTTAACCAAATTGTCGGCTTATTTTTCAAATCAAACTGGTAGTACTAGTTTTTGGAAAATTGATAATCAAAACTGAACCAAAGCTAATCAGTTAACCAATTGATTGTTTGGATTAATCCCCAATTTGATTCATCAGTTTTTTTATTGTTATAATATATTATAAATATATAATAAATAAACTAGAAATACATATAAATATTATATTATAAATAACAAATAATATATTATATATTATAAATATATATAAAGCAAATATAATATACATAATATAAAATATATATATAGTACTGGTCGGTTCATTTAACCCCAAATTTTTATATTGGTTAATCAAAATAGAACCAATACCTTCAACTTTTAAAAAAATGCCGAACCGATCAGTTCAATTAACTAAAATTTGTGGTTTGATCTCATCCATTCGGTTCAGATTTTCAGTTTTTCATGACCACACCCTAGTTCAGGTCACTATATAAGGGATCCTAACCCGCTTTGCTTGAGTTGATTTGAGTTTGTTGATTGGGTCAACTTCTACAAGTTCACTAAAAGTATAAAACCTAGAAGGGGCATAAAAGCCTTAACCCTAAAAATAAAAACAAGATAATGCAACAACTCATAAAATAATTAATTGTACTTGCCCATTAGAAAAAAGGCACTAAGTGACCCTTGTAATTAAGTGGAATTTGTAAGTGATCTTCAAAGATGACGTGACGAATATGCACATGAATAATACTCTTAGCTGTGTACAAAAGAGAAGATCATGTCCTGCGACCATATTAGTAAAACCATCCGCAATCAGTTTGCCTTGTCCAAGAGGTCCACCTGAGGCGGCCTGGCCTCTTTTGCTAATTGATCTGCTTCTTTATTGAGCTTTGGCGGGAGGAGCTGCCCCTATCTCTAAAGGGGGCCCAGTCTGTTTCGATTCCTTTTTGGGAGATCTTCGRATGTCTTTTTGATTAGATTGAGGAGCCTTCTTTCTGCCCTGCCGTGTATCCTGTGTCATCCAATGGAGTTCCTTATTCATGCGGACTCTTTCAATCAATACCAATGGGAAGAGTCACAAGGGAATAAGAGAAAGAGGAGGGAAACAGCC